GCAACTTCAGCTTTGTTGTCTCTCAACTCCCACCTCCACCCTCAACCCCCGTTTCCCCCCGCCCCCCCATACAAGTTAGAGAAAATGGAGGCATGTAACATTGTTACAACATGAACACACGCAAACCAGAAACGTTACAATACAACCAGTGCTTGTCCTGTAGCTAAATGGCTAGGGCCAGGGTCTTCCGTATCAGACCTAGATGCTATTCAGAAGTGACAGGAATCTGTACCTGTTTTGGAAAGACTGGAAGGGCTGATCTTTACCTGCATTCTGGAGGCAGGGGTATTCAAGCCTTGTTTAATTAATAATTAGAGATGTGAAGTATACCGAGTTAATAACCCCCCATCAGAAGGAGAGGTGAAACTTGACTTTTTTTAAATTCCAAACCCAGTGCATGTCCCCTGGGGACAAAGGATCATCAGTCTTTTCCATCCTAAGAAGATGCAACTGACCTTTGTGGCTGTTTCGGGGATTTTGTGAAGCATGGCCATTTCAGGCATTCAGCATTCGTTAGAAACAAGCCTCTAGTAAGTTCTACTGTTCAAATCAGGATGGGTTTTCGCAGGCCCACAAGAAGGCACCTCTCTGACACACTGCCAAATTTAAGCTCCTGCTTCAACTCCTTTAAGTACTATCCCTTTTTAAATTGAAAGAATTGGTCAAGGTTAGCCGAACTACCTGTTTGTCCCTAAACTTGCTCTAAAAGCAGTTGAAAGTAAAGCTTGTATTTGCTTTGAAATCCTTTGTGGAGGCGTGCTCTGTAAACACACCAATTTCTTTTTCAGGTAAGCACAGTGGGCCAGAGTAATTCCTGGTATTATTTAACTGACCATATTATAAGTTAGTCATTTTTGGACAAAACCCCAGAACAAATATCAAGAGCTTTTTATTGGCCATTTTTAGTACTAGATAAAGATTTTGTTTTGGCGCTTACTAATTACAGCAGTGTGGGAAGCAATTAACATGTAGTTTACAGGAACTTCTTTTTGAGAGGGAATGGTAATTGCAAATATCAAAATACTGTCAGGCATGAAATCGCGTTCTCTGAAAACTGGACCCCTCATTTTCTTGGTTGTGTATTACTTGATTACATCGGAGGAGAATTGGTTTAATGTTTAGTATTCTGGATTTTCTGTAGTGGTCTCTCTCTCAGAAAAGGGATTTCATTCCTTGTCTTGTAGAATGAAGGCCATGCTGGCCAAATTATTTTCTTTGTAATTGAATGTCAGGTTTTTGAAAAGTTAATCTTGCACAATTTTTGCAGGCAGTTTGCCAAAGTGGCTGTTTTTCATGTTGGAGGGCTTAAGAATCCTACTTAACTTTTCTATTTAAGGACTCTCCAAATCTAAAAAGTATGTCTGGGGCCCCTGGAGACTCTTCTTTTACTGCTTAATTGGTGTTGCATTGTTCTTTAGATTGTGTAGGAATGGTCTGTTGTTGGCTGTTTGCTGGAGTGCAGTTCCTTGGAGCTTCAATTGTGGACCAGGTCCCTACTAGGCTAGATGCTTTACAAAGACCAAATTAACCCCTGCCCCCCCCCCCCCCCCCCCAAAAAAAAAAA